CGTAAGAATAAGCCAATCACAGTCGAGAATTCTTTTGAACTTTTAATTCTGATTGACTGATTCTTGCGTTATGTCTTATGTTACTGTAATATTAAAAAATTGAAAATATTTGTATAATATATGGTATACCTATCATATTTTTTAGGAAATTTAAATACATGTCTTCCTTCTAATTCAAGATTTCCAGGACATCCATTTATTGAACAATATTTAATTTTTTTTCCACTCATTTTCTTGATGTGTAATCTATTTTCTTTTTATATCTAAAACAGAGCTAAGATCAAAGTGTTTTCTGCAAGAGAATTGAAAATCTGTACGATATATATGTACATACAGATCTACAATTCTCTTTCAGGATAATTGTCACTTTCTTTATTCTTTTCACTTAACTTCACTCTATTTCACTTCACTGCACTTCACTTCACAATAATCCACTTCACTTTACTTTTTTTCACTTCACTATTAATATCTAAAACAATTTGCAAGACATCACCGACATAAAAGCATACGAACTTAATACTGCCGTTACCGCCAATTGTTACACAAACACTGCAACGGTTAAAAGAAAGATCGAAAACACAAAGAATAAGTGAGAGAAAAGTTCAAATGGCGTTACCGTATGTAATGTCTCAACTTGCGCATGCGCGCTACGATTTTGGCTTCACATAATGAATAGAGTTGCGCTACTGGGGTGCGTTCAGAATGAACGTCTGGACGACAACTTTTTACCCAGAAGCGTTCGATTTGACCGGACGTTTATTTCCAGACGTTTCACCATGGTTATTCAGAATGGATTTAGAAGAATGCCCAGACAACACCGGAATATTTCACCTTATATTATTTCCACCATGATATACATAAATTCAAATATTAATAATTACTTCTTTTTTTACACGATACAAAAAGGAAGGATGGATAAGAGAAATAACTCTTCAGCGTTTAACAGAACAATAATAATTATATCTATATATGTATATATACACACATATATATATATATTCTGTCTTTTATGTCGCTTGTATTTTATATCTACATACAATACACATGTACATTTACTATTACACCTAAAGTTGTTTTGTTCCACAAGGAATGATATGTATGTTACGTAACTCCTAATAAGGAGCACGAGGCAATTTTCGTTCATAAGTACAATCCATATATCAGGTATTTTAATCACATATTCTTTAATTAGCCGAAAGAAAAACGGCTCGTCTTCACTTCACTCATCCAAGAATATGTATATATATATATATATTATTGAACAAAATACGGTAAAAGTGATAGAGAGCCATCCTGTGTATATGCGTACACATAAACAGTTTTAACATGTTTTATATACATATATTTTATTATGTACACACACACGCACGCACGCACGCACGCACGCACACATACACATTAAATAGCAGAAAGCAAAATTTCTTTTTCGCATCATCATATAGTAATGATGCATCGGCAAATATGCAACTATGTACTACATTTGTCTATTAAATTACTACATTTGTCTTAAATAACAGTTGTTAGTAATGGTGCAACCAGCGTTCTGTTATCGTGCTGTTTGTTATAATTTATCTGTATTGAGCGTTTTTTGTCTTGCGATTAATTTCAAACTTAACATTGGACTTAATAAAAAAGGACACTTGGGCTACTTACTGACGATGCTTACATAGGATATGTATCGTAGCCGAAGCAATTCCTTGAGGAGAGCGACCAATAATTTAATTAATTATATTAACAATATTCCTTGGATACGTCTCTTTGATCTATTTAAAAGGGAAATGTGGAAAATAAAGAGACATATCCAAAGAATAATTTTCATTTTGGCTTGAAAATTTTGAATGATAATATTAAAATGACTATGTCAGATTAATTCGATCGATAAAAGAACAGTTTCATACATTTTGTACGTTCGTAATTGTTAAATTGATGACTGAATATACGATAAGATACTGAAAAGTGCGCGTCTCCGATATCGTGCAAATACATATATATCAACTTCAGTGTGCAATCTATTACTTTTTATATCATAAAATTTCTCGGAAATCGTGCGATATGCTTCCGATATTCAGCAAACGATCGACACGAAAAATTCTTTCAAGATACTTTCATTTTCCTATATTAGAAGAAATATGTGTCTTAAACACACGGCCTTAATTCAAATAGAAGTTGAATAACAGTTTCATCGGCCAATGTTGACGTGTCTCCGATATTCCTATCGCCTGCTGCAATTTTTCTCAACATACGTCTCATAATCTTGCCGGATCTTGTTTTCGGTAGAACCGGAGCATGTTGGATGACATCCGGTTGAGCAAATGGACCAATCCTTTCGCGTACTATTTAAGTTATATTAATTTATTAAATAGCGCATATTAATTACATGTTAAGTAGAAAATAATATTAAATACTCGAATCGATTAACTCAACGATTGGCTTACCTTTCTTTTTAAGCTCGACTTGCAATTTTTCGTCGAATGTCATCCCTGTGTTCGGAGTTATGAAACAATATAGACATTGACCTTTAACAGGATGCGATTTACTGACTACTGCAGCTTCAGCCACCGAAGAATGTTCCGCCAACACACTTTCCACTTCAGCCGTTGACATTAAATGACCGGAAACGTTCAACATATCGTCGATACGACCAGTCACCCACAGATACCCATTTGCATCGCGTCTCGCTCCTAAAATCATTAATTGAAACAAAGATTAGATTTACATTATTTTCGTGTTATTCCACCATTTATTGCTGTCGATTGAAAGTAAGTTTTAATTTTTAAGAGACGGAGAAAGACAAAATTCCTGTATATAGGCGAAGTCTTTACGCACGCACGCACGCACGCACGCACGCACGCACGCACGCACGCACGCACGCACGCACGCA